CTATTGAAACGTGATTAAGGAAGTACAAAATGTGCTGTAAGCAGATCGTGATATTCTATTTAAACTGCCAAAGACACGATCATTTAGTCCGTTCATTTCTTGCAATGTGAAAATGGCAATCAGTGTGTGAAAACTACTACTACACCAAAATGGTTGCATGTAATGTTGTGATTAATGGTTAGGATTTTGTATTATGTTTAATCATTGTTCTTGAGCACTATTGAGCCACAGTACCTCATCAAAATTCTCTAGAGTAGAGGATTTAAGTCTACTAAAGTATACAATAAGTCTACTAAAGTATACAATTCATGTTTTTTTTTTATCCAAACCTTTTATTGTTTTTCGAAACTGGCAGATGCCGAAAGTACCTGCCACAGATGCCACGGAGTAGTGGCATCTGCAAATACAGGTTTAAACAGCAGCATTTGCCACGGAAGCAGTGGCAGCTACCGTAAACCTTCCCTTACCCCGGCATCTAGTGGCAACTCCCGTTCAGCAGCTGCAGATGCCTCGGCAAGTAGTGGCATATGCCGCAGATGCTTCGGCAAGTAGTGGCATCTGTGGCAGATGCCGGAAGTACCTGCCACAGATTCCGGAAGTACCTGCTGTAGTATCAGGCATAATAGGTGGGTAGGAACCTTTGAGATGTAACTGTTGTGCATCAGTAATTAATAAACGTGAGCAAGTCAACCTACACGTCGGTCCAATCCTTTCCTATACAAAAGCCTCTATATAAGTTATAGTGAACACTTATAACAATAGAACATGGTGTCAGAAGTGAAAACGAGACATTAACAAGTCAATGTTAGTGTCCAGTGGACCGAAATGTACGTCAGGTTTAAGGCCCTTACACACGGCGGCTTGCGTTGTCGCTTGCCGGCGGGGGGGGCTGAAACTCGACCAATAACCAATCACATGAATAGACACACAAGCACGCGGTTTGATTGGCTAGAGCTTGTACTGGCATATGATTTGATTGGCTGACGCCTCCGTCGAGGCGGCAAAATTAGAACATTGCTCTACTTTTGCAGCGAGCACCGCGAGAGAAGCTACGCTTTGCTCTAGGGCTGTAGCGATACACTAATCTCACGATACGATACGATACACGATATTGAGCTCACGATACGATATATATCACGATATTCAGCCAACGATACGATTCGATACGATTCGATATAATTCGATACACTTACATCATTTTCTGAAAGATTTTAAAGGGACAGTGTGATTTTGGTGACATCTTGTGAGTGTTCCATTGACTTGGATTGAATTAATTCAACTGAAAACTCAAAGCATCAATTATACAATATATGGCTCTGACTAGACAGAGAGTCTACAGCTTGCAAATGCTGGACAAAATGACTCAAAAGATGTGGTGAGAAAATGTGTTTCATTTATTGAAACAGTGCCAACTGTAGCTTACAAGCCTTTGAAACGTAAGTACATAAAGTGCAGTATCACAATGGACAATGGAGAATTAAAAGGTGCAGCAGGTGGCCTGTTCTGAACAGATTCCTTTACAGCATTTTTAGCTTAACACAGAATATGAGGTAGCCAATAATTCAAGTCACTAAGAACAACATTTAATGTAAAATGTACCTGCCAATAATTCAAGTCCAAAGGAGTAACATTTAAGCCAAAAACACTAAACAGAAAGGCTCCTCTNGTTTAGACAATCATGACAGTGTTTTAGCAGATAGTACAAAACCAGGCCAGCAAGAATCATTACTGTTGGACTCAGCTTTCTCTGCATTTAGCAACTGCTGCGTCAGAGAGCAACTGATTTGCATTATTTTACCTGACAGCAGTTGCTAAATGCAGAGAAAGCTGAGTCCAACAGTAATGATTCTTGCTGGCCTGGTTTTGTACTATCTGCTAAAACACTGTCATGATTGTCTAAACGGAATAGCATGGTTTGTTTAGATTCACTGATATCAATATCAAATAAGAATCATCTGAAGCATTGAGAAATGTTGCCGTGTATATATACTATTTTTGGATTTGGTTATTCTTAATGTCTTTCTCAAATAGTCAAAAACGTATAATTTCGAGACAAACCTGAGGGAAATAAATTGAAATTGTAGTTTGTGCCATACAGTTAGGATTTTGAAATCTGAATAAATATAAAGGCTATAAAATGAAAAATCCCAGATTTAAAAACAAACAGCCCCTCCCAAAAAAGTGTATTTGTGACGTATATTAGGCAAACTGTAAGAGTATAGCCACAAAAAAAAAGATGAATATCAGCTATTAATGTATTTTATCATTTAAATAATTTAAATAAAAATGTTTAATGAGAATTAAAATATTAAACAACAAAACGGATACAATGACATTAATCTGTTTATTAACAACGAAGATACGAATTATGTACATATGCCTACATTTAAAATAACACATTTATACATAACATGTGTACAATAAAATATAACTGTCCTTTGCCTCATTTATAAAGTATAAAGCTTAGCATCTCACTAGTGGCCACTGCAATCAGTTACAGCTGCCCTAAGTCTGCAGCTTGATTGATTGATTGATTGATTGATTGATTGATAAGTTTATTAACAGCTTGTATATTGGGTACAGTACAGTACAGCTCAAAACATACAATTGTTAAGGGGATGCAGACCAGAGAAAGACTTTCGTCTTGTTTACATCAGGGTCCCCCATTTCCAAGTCTAATAACACCAGTGTGCACGTTTCTGTGTCAATACAGATATTTATTTGTCTTTACTAGTAATAATACACCTGGTTTATCATAGCAAGCAGTGGAAACTCCAGTCCCCTCCAGAAGCGACAATTGCCAAGGGAAGCAATGTCAGCTGGGCTTGCGTTGCAACCATAGGTTGCAACCAGTCTATGGTTGCAACTCACTCGCCAATGTTTCTCTCTTGTATAACAATATATTTGTAGTACTATCATAAATATAGCACGTTTTATTTTTAACAAACCACGTCCTCCAAGTAAAATTGAATACAAATGATAATTTATAATCTTTTTGAAAAATAGAGATCGCACATCAGTCCTGTGTACAGAACAGTTCGATAAAGTCATGCTTAAACAGCGACATTTTACACGATAAATACGTGAATTTGCCACGGAAGGCGAGTGGCAGCTACCGTAAACCTTCTCTTGCCCCGGCATCTTAGTGGCAACTCCCGTTCACCAGCGGCAGGTGCCTCGGAAAGAAGTCGCAGATTTATTTTTAGTAAAACATAATTTCAACTTCAGTTTAACATATAGCAGAAAGGAGGTGTTAGGGAAGAGCTTCAGAAGTTGTTGTTTACTTCCAAGCCAGGCTAGCTGAGCCTCTGCTTGCTAACAGTCTTTATGCTAAGCTAGGCTAACAACACCCCGACTCAAGCCACTTTAAAACAACTTTCAAGCTAACTTTTTTACTTTTAAACTAATTCTTATCAAACATTTTTTACCAAAAGGTTAACATTTTCCCTTAAGAACAACATATTTCAGTACCTGTTCCTCTTCTTCTGCTTCTGCCTTATCTTGGCAACTAAGAAAGCCACCATGAGCACCCCGAAGATGACGGCCAGCACGCTAAGGGACAGCGGGAGGCTCAGCGCCCCGTTCACCGTGTCCTCGCAGGCCTCGCCCTGGTAGCCCAGGTCGCAGTTGCACACGAACCCGGTGCCGCCCCCCGGTGGACTCAGACAGGAACCGTGGTCGCTGCATTGAATCTCTCCACATGTTGGCAAGCTGAGGTCGATGCCTCTCGGTTGGGGAAGAGGGAAGGAAGTCATGGTGGAGGTATGGCAGGTAGACGGGGATCCCTGGGCTGCTGAGGGAGGCAGTGATGTATAGAGAGTGAGACGGAATTAATGAAAGTAGACCACACCCAAATCACAATAGGTTAACATGACAAAGAGAAAAGTATTTTCTGTAAGATGGATGTCCTCAGGGGCTGGGTCAGTGTGCAAATACTTGTAGTTGCCTTCCTTCAAGTCTGTTTAACTTTGGCGTACTACTTTACGAGTACTGATTTCACTAATCAAAATGAATCATTATTCATGTGATTACTTCTGTAAGACAACAAAGTATCTAATTGAAACAATTTGATACTTTCTCTGTGTAAACATTTTATTTTTAGTGGTGCGAACGAGAAAGTATATTGTGCGCACGAGATCCAATCCACCTTCCATACAGATAAGTGGCTGTGGTGATGTGGTTGTGCTCATACTAATATGTTAAAGGTCCCATGACATGACCATTTCTACTGATCATAATTATATTGGTTAGGTCTACTAGAATAGATTTACATTGTTCAATTTTCCAAACTTACATTGGTTTCTCATACAGCTCTGTATAGTAGCTATGTGCATTCACTCTATGTCCTAAACGGCTTGTTGGTGCTCCTGTGAGCCCAGTGTGCTCTAATGTGTGTTATGTGTTACAATGACATTTGTTAGCAACCAGAAAATGACACCAGTAATGACAAACAGAAGAGAATGCTGCGTGGGGTCTGGGTGCCGTGTTGGCGGGACGTTGCGAGGCTCGCTGCTGCAAGGAGCGGACAGTGCGAGCTGGCTTACTGGTGTGGTTTCCTGGTAGGCGAGACACAGCGAAACTCAGCCCGAGGCGAGCACACACACCCGCACTAATGATGGGCATTTCGAATCCCTTCGGGGACACAAATCTTTTGATTCAGTTCACTTTAAAGATTCGTTCACCGGTTCGCGAACGACTTCTGGTGATTTGCACGATTCGTCTTTGTACTTAATTCGTTCAGTGAGTCTTCACTACTGCCGAAGTCCGTACAAGAAGTTTGCTGGCGTAAAATGTATGATATTAAAACACATTTTACACCTCACCTTGTTGCCCCATGAATTATGCTCTGGGAATAGGCTACATATTTAAGAAATATAATTGGCCATTGTTAAATCTCATAAATGTGTGCCTGACTATACGATGTATTACAGCAGGCTAGCACGTTATACTTTCAAACCCATGGTTTGTAAATGATAATTTATACATACGACAAAATCCCTTAAAGATTTCTATTTCAGACCTTAATCTTCCTCCGCCTAGCGCCTAATCGGATAAATTCAGTTATGGAACGATCGGGAGATTACGAAAGAACCGCTAAACACATCTTTTACGACAAACCCACGGACAGTTTTTGCAAATGGGTCCCAAAAAAAATTTCGACCACGTATCGCTTATTTAAGTAAACTACTTTTACAGTAATAATAAGTATTTGATACCGGGGTCTTTTGTACGGTCCAGACTGTATCCTAATGTTGACGATTAGTTCCGCGGCAGAGAGCGACGAGAGAGCGGCGAGAAAGAAAGAGCAGAGAGAGAGCTAGTGAGTGTGAGTGGAGTTGGACAGGCGCGTATTTACGGGCAGTCCCTCCCCTGCCTTGGACTTGGCATCCCGCAGTCGATCGAATCGCGGATCGAAATCGGCGCGCCAACCATTAGTGTGTCGGCAACATAAAGGAGGGCGGTGACAGCCCCGGGGATTGTTCGAACGTACCTCCGCCGCCTATGGACGTCGACGTTATCGGCAACGGCCGATTACACTTTGTGTGTGTGTGTGTCGCAAATCGCCTGCCTAAGAGGACCGGACCCAAGCCGGATTTATCGGGGAAGTCCTCCGCCGGCCTATCGGGCCGGACCGCGAGGGATCGCAGGGTGATCGAATCCAGGCCGATCGGATTTCCATTATGTTTGTATCTACCGCATGTATCGTATACTTATTTTAGCCAGTGGCTACCGACCTCCCTATATTAAAAAACTAACTGAAAACTAGCCCGGTTTCCTCAAATTACGAAACCCTAATTTCGAATCCGAGGTCGTATCATGC